TGGGGGGGGGGGGGGGCGGTCGTCATCTGACGACTCGTCGCAGCACGCGCAAGCCGCGGTGTCTAGGGTCGAGCTCTAGGGGCGCGCAGCCAGCGCGCAGCCATTTATGGCGGATCATCCGCGGATCTTTGAGGACATCTCGGCGTGACTGAGGACCTCTCGGCGTGACTGAGGACCTCTCGGCGTGAGGACCTCTTGGCGTGAGGCCTCTTGTGGCGTCGTGAGGACCTCTTGGCGGGCGCGAGTTTCTCGTCCTTCAGGGTATCAGGGAGCAGTTGACGGCTGTGCTGGCCTTCGGCGCGGGCTATTTGATGACACGACAAAATACGGAGACGGGGGAGCGACGCTCACCACCAGACATGAGACGCGGAGGGGGACTCGATCGAACCAGTGTGTGTGATGTGTAAGTACTGGTGGAGTTGTGTCTTCACGTGCGCCGTTTTAAATGTTGCTTGAAGGTCGACGCGTACTTTATTGTACTCATATCTTCACATCGTATGTTATTACTCAATATTACCGACTCACCCCCTCTCCCATGACAGTGTACAATTATGCGGCTCTCACATGAACATGATACCGTATGGGAGAGGACGCGGCACGCGCCGCACAGACCTGATAGGCCGGGATGGCGGTAAGATGCATAAAGATCCTTTGGAAGCCGCGAGGGCCGTACTCGACTTACGTACTCGACTTATGCACAGGTGAGATCCACTCACAGGGCTGATGCACTCTCTGACGCACGTGCAGCGGAGGGAGCGAAGGAGAGGCCACAGGGCACCCACCGCGCGGGCGTTACTCCGCGCACCGATTCCCCTCGCACCAGCACGCCCGCAAAGCTGTGCGACAGGACTCTGCCTGCAGGAGGCTCGTGGCCGACCTACGACGCCGGGGCAACCGGCGCCCGCTTGGCGCCGCCGACCGGCCTCGATGGCTGGCGATGCGCCGCCTCGCAGCAGCTCCCGACCCTGACGCCGTACGCGTCGAGGCCGCGCAGGATCAGCGCGCAGAGCAGCAGCGCCAGCGCCGGCGCGAGCCTGTGGTTTGAATACACCAGTAGGTGAACATGTGTTCGCATCTAAAGAGCGCTGGGGCGATTTGAGCAGATGTGGGGAAATGCGGGGAGATGCGGGGAGATATGGGGAGATCGTTCGCTTCTAGAGGCCTGTTGCTGCGGGGAGATGCGGGGAGATATGGGGAGATATGGGGAGATATTCCGCATCTGGGGGGCGCGAGCCGCCACCACGGAAGGCATCCGATACAAGGCGGCCCGTTCGAGCCCTTGCCGCCGCCGCCCTCGCCCACGCAGATCGTGTGGCCTGCGACGGCGGCGACGCAGGCGGCCAGGGCGACGCAGAACCAGACAAAGCCGACGCACCGCGGCTGGAAGCCGAGCGAGCGGTAGAGCTCGGCGAACTGATACGCGTCCGAGCGCTCGACCTGGTGCCCACATCTCGGGTTCATCTCGGGATGGGTACACTCGCAGAGATATGCTGGGCGGCGGGATCGGATACTCTCGGGCCATCTCGGTCAATCTCGGGCCATCTCGGTCAATCTCAGTGCATCTCGGGTAATCTCGCCACCTTGCGCCGGACGGTGTCATCGTATATGTCATACGTGCAGTAGATCATGTTGACCGTCCCGACCAGCAGCAGGAACAGCTCGAGTGGCCAGGTCGCCGCATCAAAGTCGGTCTCGCCTCCTCCGCCGCCGCCCTTGCCCCCGCCCCCGCTCCCTTCTCCGCCCCCCTCGCCCACAAAGGAGATGGCGGTGAGCCCGGCCGAGGTAACTCCAAAGGCCGCACTCACGCCAAAGAGAAGGACGCGCTCCTTTGTCGAGGCAGCACGGCCAAAGGCGGCGTACACGGCGATGATGGCGCACGCGGCGGCCAGCAGGATGCCGCACACCTGCGACCCCACCGTGAAGGCGCTGGCAATGACAAGCACGCAGCCCGAGCACGTCGACCCGACGTAGCCGGCGGGCAGAACGAAAGCACGTACGCACCGCACCCGGTTCGTCGGGATCTTGTACGAGGCGAGCCCGCCCTCGTCCCAGGAGACCTCGATGCCGGTCACGCGATTGCAGAGCGCGGCGGCCGCCGCCGCGTGGCAAAACTCGTGCAGAGCAACCGCAAAGAGCTTGAACGGCTTGAAGACGAGGGCGCGCCAGAGCAGGAGGACGGCGCCAGAGTACGCAAATATGGTGACCAGGAAGTACTGCTGCTCCTCGTTGCAGCAGCCGGTGGACATCCCTTTACAGCAGCGCTAGAACGAGAGCGCCAGCCAAACCGGGGGCGGCTTCAGCTGGGTTGTGTTTCTTCTGTCCCTTGGACAACAAGGGCGCAACAGAAAGAAAGAAAGAAAACAGACAACCCAAGGGAGGGATGGGAGGGCGCAACAACAACGAGAGCGGTAACTAGAGGGTTTTTGCAGCGATCTACACTTGGTTCCACACTTGCTTCCACACTTTTTCGCAAGTGTGGAGGGCCAGTCGAAAGTGTAGACCGTTGGCGACCCGACAGATCGGGGCCGAAAGTGTAGAACCGTTGCACACTCATGAGCACGACGCCCGAGGCGCAGGTGGCGTCGGCGTCCTCGCCCCAGACCCCTCCCACGCCCCTCTGCTGACGGCCGCCTCGCCTCGCCCCCTCCTCAGGCCGCGACCGCGGCGCAACCCGCGCCCACCCCTGCGGCCGCCACCAACGGCAAGGCCGAGAAGGAGGTGAAGCAAATGAAGTGGACCTACGAGCGCGACGTGGCTCTCTTGACGCAAGTCGCCGCCGCCGGCCCGCTCGCCTGGCTGACGTCCAAGATGGGCTACTCCGGCGACCCCGAGCGCACGTACAACCAGGGCGCGGTCTGGGACAAGGCCGGCGAGGGCATCATCCCGCAGATCAAAACGCACGAGGCCTTCGCTGGCGTCACCACCTTCCCCGCGACGACCGCCTTCATCGTCCACACGAAGCGAGTCGTGCAAAGCAAGGCCAACCTCTACAAGTCGGGCGGCGAGCAGGCCGAGGACGCGCCGGCAGGCAGCCTGGGCACCAAGAACGAGGAGCTCTCCGAGCTGGACCAGGTGATGCGCCACCGCCTCCCCTCACCCCCCTTCCCACTCCCTTCGCCCGCCCCCCTCCCTCCCCTCCCCTCTCCTCCCTCTGCCCACTCCGCGCCTTTCACTCGCACGCAGCTCATCATTGAGGTCGGCACGGCGATGGAGGAGGCGGAGAGGATCGGGTGCGCAAACAAGGAGGGCAAGGCTCAGGCGGACGCCGACGTCGGCAAGGGAGCGCAGGCTCGCGAACGCCCCGGGGGTAGGGGGATTGAGGGGGCTAGGCTCGCCGCCTCGTTGACGCCCTGCACCCCCCCCCCCCCCCTCCTGCCTGCTCCCCCCTGCAGGCGATGCAGGACGCGCTCGCGAAGCGCACGTACCCCAAAGACGGCGACCCCGGCAAGAAGGGGAAGAAGAAGAAGACGGCCGCCTCGCCGATCACTCTCAAGGACTACGCGCGGACGATCGGGCGCGACTACAACGACCTCTACCAGGAGCTCGTCGACGGCGACATGACGCTGCCCGGCTTCGTCTTCGTGGACCCGGCCGCCGAGGACGCGCCCTCCGCGCCGCTGCTCCAGGTGCCGTACGTGGTGCCGATCAACGGCGGCGGCGGCGGAAGCGGCGGCACCGTTGGCGGCCTGCGCGAGGACGCGGGCAAGTTCTTCAACGCGAAGGCCTCCTACATGGAGAGCAAGGCCTCGCTCGACGCCAAGAAGGAGGACAACCGGGCTCGCGAGCGCGCGCTGGAGCTCAAGTTCCAGGAGGAGAAGCAGGCCGCGCAGGCCGAGGTCGAGCGCAGGCGCGAGGAGCGCGCCGCCAGCGCGCAGGCGGCCTCCAACGCGGCCGTGCAGGCCGCGCAGGCCGCGCAGGCCGCGCAGGCCGCGCAGATGTCGACGCTGCTGGCCACGATGATGAAGCAGCAGGAGCAGCAGATGAAGCTCATGGCGGGCTTCGCCAGGAAGGCAGGCATCGTGGACGACGACGAGAACGAGCCCTCGAACGAGCCCTAGGGTGCCTCTGCCGCACTGCCCTTCCCCTCCGCTAGCCCCGCGGGGACCCCTTCCAGCTGCATAGCTGCACACGCGGGGCGCTCCACCCACCTAGGCGTGAGGAGTGCCCCCCCCCCCCCCCCCCCCGGGATGACGACCAAGATCACTCCCACAGCCCCACATGTTCCTGCGCTGCTCACGCACCACCACGCATCTCCACTCTCTTCGCCGCAAACACGCCGCAAACATGCGTACTAGCCCTAAGGCCCTCCACGTGGCGACCGCGCGTGTGTCTCTACTGTACTCGCGTGTCTACCGCCCCGTGTGCACGTCTCTACTGTACTCGCGTGTGTACTGCCCTGTGTGCGGTCAGAGGATTGTAGTCGTACGTCTCGCTGTACTCTTGTTGTACGTAAACTTGGAATACACATGAGCGCGATGAGGTTGAGTGAGGACCCCGACCCTGACCCCGACCCGACCCTGGCCGGTCTTGCGATCTTTTTTCCTCAAAGACAAATTCTCTGACTGCACTCCAAAGTGCTCCAAGATCTCCTGGCGGCGATCGCATCTACGAACGCTATAGCTAAAAACGTAAAAACCACATCTTACTAAAAGTCTATCGCGAGAGAACTTGCGTCCCTTCGTGCGCGTGGGTCGCGGGCCTGGGTGGAATCGCGCTCGCCCGGTCGGGACCAGCCGTCTCCGCCGTACTCGCTCCTCGCGGCGCCGTGATTGGGCGCAGGGTGCGCCAGCATGTGCGCCCCTTCCTCCCGCACGCTGCATGGTTTGCTTGCGTAGGCACATTCGGTAGCGCCGTCCGCCGAGGCATGGCAGTGAAGCGAGGGCCGGCGACAGCCCGAGGCGCGCCGCAGCGAGGGCCGGCGACAGCCCGAGGCGTGCCGAACCTGCTCTCGTGTGGAGTGCCGCCCTGATCCGTCCCCAGGGTCAGACCGGGGCCGATTGCGCCGCTCTGCGAGCAACCCGTCACAAGGAACCCTCCCGCGCTGTTGCCCCTCTCGCCGCAGGCTCGCCATCCGAGCGAGCATTCTGGTCGCTCCTGCGCGTGGCTCGAGCGACGGACGACCGACCACACTCTCTCCCGCGCAATCGCGCCCTTTGCCGAGCACACGTGCAAGCAATCCAAGCCGGGGCGCTGCTCTCTCGACCACAATGTATGGGACTGAGTCTATACCTGGTATGCTTCCCGTGATCGATGTTTGGGCAAGCCTGGCAAGCTAACATAGATGACCAAGATCACACACAGCCCCACAGGTTCGAGCGCTGCTCAACTCCACTCGTCCTCGCCGCAAACATGCCGTACTAGCCCACACAGCCCCAAGCCCTCTACTTGGCGACACGCGCGTGTACCGCCCCCGTGTGCGGAAAGAACAGAGTTGTGTGTCGCTCTAATGCACACGCAACACCAAGGAATGCAAAAATCAAAAGATGTCGTGCGGCTCGCACGAGTAGGGGCCGCCGCGCATGTACTCGTGCAGCTCCGGGGGCGCGAGCCCGAACTCGTAGCTGACGATGTTGCCGCGAGCGAGGCACGTGTGCATGTTGGTCAGCACGTTGGCGACGGGGAAGTACAGGCCCACAGGGGAGAGCAAGACCTGCAAGGCGTGTGTGTGAGGCGGGGTGAGTGCTGCACGCGTGAGGCACACAGTGTGTCTACAGCGCGCGTGTGCGTGTGTCTGCACGACGCGCCTTGGACTTCTTGCGGTAGTCGAGGAAGGGCCAGAGGTTGACGATCTTGCCAAAGCCCCACTCGACAGTGACGCGCGCGGGGGACATGGTGCTGTTGAAGAACTGCTGGGCCGGGGTCATGGCGCCCTTGTACATGCGCCACAGGAAGGCGCTGATCGGGTAGGCGGAGTCGCCAAAGAGGCAGTAGTCCTGGCCGAGGCCACCTGGCATCCACGCAAACGGGCCGCCGCGGCAGAGGTCGTGCAGGATCTGGACAATTCGCGAGCGCGAGAGGACGGTGGAGTCGTGCCGGCTGCCGTTCACCGGGCCGAAGGGGTAGGGCTGCATGCCTGCGCGCACTGGTCGTCCACGTGACGTGTGTTTTGGGGGATGAACTGACCGCTAAGGAGGTGCTGGTCACACCATTTGGGAAGATGATGCCCTGCGTCTTGATGCCGTGGATACGCTTGTGGCCGGAGTACAGCACATTCTGATACCTGCCCGGCCGGCACACCGCCCAGAGCTTGCCGTCGATGAAGCCGATCAAGTTCTGGATGGGGAGGCCATAGTCGGTGAAGGCCTGGGCAAACTGGTGGAAGTGCGGCGACCACGAGGAAAAGGAGCGGTGGTTGACGAGGTGCGGGAATGTGTTGTGCACATGCTCTACCTGCGCAAGGGGTGCAGAGAGCGGTGCGGTCGAGTGCACGGTGCAGCAGCACAGAGCACATCCAACGGCGCGCCATGTACAGCGTGACCTCGGAGAGGGCGGAGATGTTTCGCCCCGTCGTCCACGTCATCTTGTCGAAGCCGTCGTCGCTCCGGAAGCGGAGCAGCAGCAGCAGCACAGCTTCCTCGCCGGTGAAGAGGTGCCCGCCGACAGTCTGGATCACAGCCGGCACCATGAGCGCCGCGATGACGATTGGCAGCCAGCGAAGGTGGAAGCCGTAGTTCTGGTACGTGGCGCTCGAGACATCGTCGCCGGCGTGCCCGCGAGCCGCCGCCTCGCGCTGCAGTCGCGCCACGCTCAGCCGCTCGGGTCCGATCTCCTGCGTCCTCCGGCGCATGAGCGGCTCGACGCCGGTGACTACGAGCTCGTCCTGCACGTCGAGGTCGCTCTCGGAATCGGAGTCGAGCATGTTTGCCATGCCAAAGAAGAACTTGGACTCCAGGAGCTCGCCGAGGAAGTATGCGCGGCTCGGCATCAGAGAGTGTCAGCAGCAAGTGTACGACCGGTGAGAGCTGCAAAAGCGCGTCGGGCGGTTCGAAAATCAGCTGATTTTCGAAGTGTCGAACACAAGTGTGGAAGCAAGTGTAGAAGCGTGGCAAAAACCCCCCAACAACTAGAGGTCCAACAAGGGGGGAACAACTCGCACCGAGACAGGACACCGAAGGCAAAAGAAAACCCACAGGGCTAACACAAGCAGTCTCGGACGCAAGTATCAGCACAAGAATCAGAACGTATTAAAAGCACCTAAAGGAGCAAGGCATACCGGTGTGAACAAGTCTCCACCGACATGTCGGCAGCAAGAGAAACCGCCGAGCTGCTGTACAAGTCCGTCGGCCTAAAAGACGCCGTGCTGCTGTACAAGTCCGTCGGCCTAAAAGACTTTTTATTTTGTCCCACGGTAGCCACGGCAGAACAGCACCGAGCGGCGGCGCCGACTCCGTGAGGCCATGACGTTTCTCTGGTGAGAAAAAAGTGTTGTTTGGTATTGCAGCTCCCGCCGATCTCCCGCTAACGGATCTTACCCCACCTGTTGCAAGGTATTGCTCACCTGTTGTAAGGTATTGCTAAAAATCTGGTGAGGGCCCGCTCACGCGCGCGAACCCCACATTTGTCCACACCGCGTACGGCAACCCGCGGATTCGGACAAACGGCTCAAAGTACTGTTTCCGAGCCTTGCATGCAGAACAGGCGTAACACGAAGGTGGAGGAGCGCCGACAGGCGGAGAGGCGAGAGCGCGGGTAGGGGAGAGGGCTAAAGTGCACGCTGTTTTCTTTCTTTGTTTGCTCGCGAAAGCATAAAATAAATAAATAAAACGGGCACGCCAAACGAGGGGTGGGAGAAGGACAGGGTCCCCACCTGCACGAGCAGGATCTTGCACGAAAGCAGTCCTTTCCATAAATCCCTGTCGGTTTCCTCCGAGAGAGAGATTTTTAGAAGCCTTCTCTTTCCTCCGTGCCTTTGATGAGAAAACGTCGTGCAGTTGCAGCGTCGTCGGGCCGTCCTCGGTGTTGACTATGGCAGTGGAGACGCGTGCGAGGGAAGCCGCAGCCGCAGCCCGAGATGATGAGGGCTCGTTGAGGCGCCAGAGCTCCCCGAGGCGTCCGGCCCCTCCCAGCTGGACGCAGGTTGGCAAGGCACGGCTTGCAAGCTCGGCGACTGATGTCGGTGATTATGTTGTCGGGTACCTCATATTTGTTCTCTCGCGAGGCTGGTCGGATGCGATTGCCATATATTTCTTTGGCCTGCTCCCCGAATGGTTCTCAGAAGAGAAGCCCATCGTGAACTCCTCCTCAAACTGGGCCGTGTACTCGCTCGTACTCGTGCCTTTGACTGGCCTTTGCAAGCACTTGGCTGAGGATCACGTCGAAAAGGCCGAGGCGCGCGGGGTCATTCCGGTCCGCGGGGCCAACATCGTTCCGAACATCATGAACTACATCGTCGGGTGGGGCTTTGCTGGCTGTGCAGGTCAGTTCCTGAGAGAGCTCCAGGCGTCGGCCCGCTGCAAGGACGACGGTGGGCATTGCCTCGCGCTGAATCTAAGCTTCACGCTTGCCTGGAGCGGCGCAGCCGCCGTCTTCCTGAGCGTCGTCAAGCCGTACGTCAAAGAAATTGAGTGGGGCAGCGGCAAGGTCATTGATTGGCTGGAAGACTATGTGGAGGATGTACTAGCAATGCTCGTGCGCGGCTTCACCGTCGTCACGATGTCGCTCTGGGTCACCACCGCGGACGAGTTCGTCTTCTTTGCCGTGCCCGAGGGCCGCGCCACAACGACGGTCACGTTACTGTATGCCGGCACAGCCTCTTTTGCCGGCGCACTGCTCAGCTCCAAGCTGGCTCAGTTTGAGCTCTCGCTGACGCCCAAGCGGGGCGTGCCGCCAACGCCGCGGTCCGCGGTGTTGATCGAGGCGTCCAACTTGGTCGAGTCCGCGCTTGCGTGGATCTCGGGCTGTGCGGTTGTGCGGCTCATCAGCCGCTTCTTCCCCATCCTCGACGCGTCGCCCTCGCCCGCCAGCATTGGCAGCGTCCTCGGCATCACCGTCGCTTTCTCGCTACTCTGCATGTTGTGGCTGATCGTCACCCAGGGCCCGGTCAAAAAGGACGACCGCGCAGCGGTGGAGCGATATTTCGTGACCAACGCGATGGGCTTCTTCTCGGGCACACTCTACTGGACCACCGGCAGGATGATCATATCCTACGTGTTCGTTGCAGCCAAGAGCATCCTCGCCGACCACGTGCCAGACGCAGGCATCGTGCTCGGCCTCCTCATGCCGGTCTCCTCGCTCCTGCTGCTCAAGGCTTCGTTCGCGCTCATTGACTTCTACAAGAGGCTCGCCGGCATATCTCAGGACACGGTGCTGCTCGACGCGCCGACGGACCCCACCTTGGGGGACCCGGCACACGTGGCCGCGTCAAAGCGGCTCGCAGCCCGGATCATCCAGAAGGCGCCAGGCACCCAGCGGGCAAGGCGCAGTGCTGCCCAGCGCCGATCGAGCAGCGAGGAGAGCGAGGAGAATGCGGAGATGGAGGTTCGCGCCCACCTTCGCAAGATCGACTAGGACAGGGGGTCTGGTGGTGGGCCACACCGGCCGCCTGATGGCCATGCTGAAGCACTCTGAAGAGGGTCTGGCTCGGTCTGGGAATTGGGAATAGGAAGGACGTACGGCTTTACAAATACATATGTGAAGTGTGGTATGAATGTGTACCGTCATGTACCGTTCGTTTGCGTGTGAGAGACCCGCGCGTCTCACGGCCTCAGGATTCGGCGTCACCCCCCGCTCACATCTGCTACAACGCACGGTCCCTAATTCCCACCCGATCACCGAACCACGCGTCCTCCTGCGCCTCGGGCTCGCGTTGGCCCCGCCTCTCGCACTCGGCGAGCCAGCGGTCCGACACGATGTGCCTGCCACAGCTGGGGCGCCCGTCGCGCACCCGATCCTCCGTAAACTTGTCCCGCAAGCGCTGCCGCTCGTCGGCGCTCGTCGAAGCCGACAGCACTGCGTGTGTCGAATCCGCCGAAGGCTCGTCCACGGTTTGCGCGCCGAGCAGCCGCAGCCGCAGCCGCAACGCGACGCTGCCACGAGGCACGTAGGCGACCACGCCGCGCAGCATCGCGTAGCGTGTTCGCAGCGCCACCGCAGTCTCGTCGTCGAGGTCCCGCAAGGCGTCCGCCACGTGCGCCTCCCTGGCCAGCGGGCTGTCGCCGCAATTGCCGCCGGCGGAGCGCTGCTCGCGCACGAGACGCATGGAGTCGACGAGCGACTCGGGGTCGGCGGCGATGGTGTAGTTGTCGCCCCACTCGTCCATGATTGCCTCGATCTGCTCGCGGGTGGCCTCGCTCACGTGCCGGACGTACCGTGGCTCGAGGGTAACGCGGGCGTGCACCTGTGGGTCCGCTACAGACACCGTTGAGGAGGGGCCGAGAGGCATCGTCGACCAGCCGAGATGGATCGGAGGACAGTCGACCCGCGTGCACAGCAGACGCGGCGGCTGCGCTCGCTAAGGGGCGTACACAGGCGCACACACCCGCGAGCACTCGTCCACCCACGCAGCCGTGACCACCTCGAAGCTGCCTCCGCCGCGCCTTGCCCGTTCCACCTCGGCGAGCACCTCGGCGCCCGGAGCCTGCAACAAGAAGAGCCGTCAAGGCGGACACAGAAAGATGCCACGAGCACCTCGCCGCTTGCGAGGCCTCGTCCACGTCGACGAGGTGAGTGGTGAGGCTGGTCATGTTCTTGTGCACTTTGCCGCCAAGTCGCTTGATCTGCGTCTCGACGCCGGGCCGCCGGGAGAGCGTGCCCTTGACCACCGCCACAACGCCTGCGGTGCAGCAAGGGGGGCGACAGTGAGGGCCGCGGCAGAAACTAGCAGCAGGGGAGAGAAGAGCAACCGCGGAGCAGCAGTGAGGCCCCCAGGGCACCGGGACCGGAAGGTTCCGAGAAGGCTCGAGAAGGCTCCGAGATGTGCCGGACCGGTGGAGAGGCACTCGTGGCTGTGAGTCGTCTCCCTCGAGTGTCGTGCATGGCGGGGCCAGGTGTCTCTTTTGTGCCCCTCACCGTCTAGCGCGTAACACTCGACCGCCGTATTCGCGAGGTCCGCCGACAGCTTGAGGTGCCAGGGCACGCCAACCGTCGGCGCGACGCCTGCGGCGCGCTTCTTTGCGGCGGGCCCGGCGCTCGCGCGGCTGGCCGCGATCTCCTCCGCCCGCCGCTTGTTTGCCGAAAGCCGCCCGTCACACTCCTTGAAGAGCTCGACAACCCGCTCGAAGGTCTCGGCGCCCTGTTCACGGCACACAGGTGTGAAGAGGCGGCAGTCCGGCAGGGGGTGCAGCAGCTCCCGCACGAGCTCCACCTCCCAGCCCTTGTCGTACCGCACGCGCTTGACGCGAGGGAAGCGGAGCCTAGAGCTTGAGCACGGGGAGCTGGGAGCGGGCGTGCGGCCGCGTGCAGTGCACTCGGCGCGTCGCGTGAATGCAAGGGCTACGAATGCGGTGAACCACAGCTGCAATGCGTCGGAAGACCGCGGACCACGTGTCGTGTGAAGTGCTCGTCGGGGAGTAGGCGTCTGCATTCCGCATCTCGGCGGCGGATCGCGTGTAGTTTGCGGGCAGGAAGGACTCGCTCGGCGTGATGATCTCGAAGGCAGTCAGCTCGAGCACAACCGACGCCTCGGGCTCGAACCAATAGTCGGGGATGTCGTCCCGCTTGTCGGCAGAGGGAGGCGGCGGTGAAGTGTGGCGGCAGTGACGGAGGCCAGTGTGTGTGTGTGTGTGTGTGTGTGTGTGTGTGTGTGTGTGTGTGTGTGTGTGTGTGTGTGTGTGTGTGTGTGTGTGTGTGTGTGTGTGTGTGTGTGTGTGTGTGTGTGTGTGTGTGTGTGCCAGGCGGGAGGATTGTGGGTCGTGCGGGAGGCGTGCGCCCGCGCCCCGCGCCCCAACACTCTGACTCTCGGTGGCGCCTCGAGACTGATATCTTCTGCATGTGCGTGCGCCCAGCACCCATGAGAGTCGGTGTCACGTGTGCACGACGTGTCTGAATACATTGCATACGCGTGCGGCATGTAAGGCGGTGCAATCAGGAGCCACTCCTGGCGGGGAGGAGAGAGGCAACAGAGTGGGCGGGGGGGAACCCGCACCTTGCTGGGCTCCCAGTGGCACAGGTGCGCAGGCCGCCGGCTGTTCTTCCACTCGTGCGAAACCTGCTCGCAGGAGACCGCGGTCAACGAGGCGCCGTGGCCCAACGCATTCCCTCGTCTTCGTGCAGGCTGGCCGGCATCAGCCGCTCACGTAGCTCCCTGAGCTGCGGCAGCGAGTAGCCCGTGCCGACCTTGCAGAACGGATAAAACAGCGGGTGCGCCGCGCCACCCACGCGCTTGGCCGCCTCGGGCGGCGCGCGGACGCCCATCAGAAAGGTGGACACGGCGCCCGACCGGCGACGGCCCTCGCCGTAGTAGCCGCCAAGGATGAGCAGGTCGAGCGTGTCGCCTGAGAGAGCGGAGGGTGTGAGTCGTGAAGACAGAGAGGCGCCGCTCGGAGCGAGCTTGTCGGAGCCGCGCGTGAAAAGGAGACATCTCCCCACATCTCCCCACATCTCCCCACATCTCCCCATAGGCTGGCTCACAGGCCTCATAGGACTTTCCCCACATCTCCCCATATCTCCCCAGCCTGAAAAGGAGAGGTAACTGTCGCACGGACAGACGGGCGTGATGGCGGACGAGCAGGTCGAGCGTGTGTCACCCATCCCATCGACGAAGTCGGGCTTGAGCTTGATCCACGACTTGTCCCGCGAGCCGGGGTCGTACTTTGAGGACAGCGACTTGAAGACGACGCCCTCGAGGCCGCGGCTCATCATCACGTCGAGCTGACGCATCACCGCTGTGGTCGCGCCCGCGCCGCGCTCGCCCACCTCGAACCGCTCGATGAGCGTGAGAGCGTGCTGCTTGGTCCGCACCGCCTTCCTCAGGAGCTCGCTCCTCTCCGCCAGCGTCGCGCCCGTCATGCTCCTGCCGTTGTAGAGCAGCAGATCGAAGGCGACGAAGCAGTGTCGCATGCTCGTGCCGAAGTCCTTGAGCGAGCGGTTCTCGCCAAAGGGCAGGTAGCGGCCCGTCTCGAGGTCCACCACCATCATCTCGCCGTCGAGCAGGAGCGAGGTGACGTCCTCTCGCACGCACTCGCAGAGGACGTCCTCCATCGACTCGCCGTACAAGTGGCTCGCGTCCTTTCGCGATCTCGACCACCACTCTGCGCGGAAGCCGCCCCCCCCGCTGCCGCTCTTCCCCAGCTCGTAGTTTGCGGACCGCTGCCTCCAACGCGCCTCAGCGTCGCCCGCGCCCCTTCCCGACCCGCCCACGCTGCTCTCACCTCCGCCGCCATGGCTTGGGCCGCCGCCGCCGCCGCCGCCGCCGCCGCCGCCGCGCCGCTCGAAATGGAGCATCACTCTCTCCCCGTCGAGCTTCCCCTCCGCCACAAAGTCGCCCTGCTTGCCCATGATCTTCGGCACCTGCTCCCAGGTCGTCCGATTGCAACTCTTCGGGTTGAGCGCGTGGAAGAGCTGAATATCGATCACGTCGAGCCGCGCGTCGCGATCCTCGCACTCGGTGCACATGGCCTCCATGTCGCAGATAGAGTTGTACTGCTCCTCCGCATCGGGGTGGTACTCCTTGAAGATGGTTGCCTCCTGTTTGGGGAGGGGGGGCGGATAGTGCGCGAGAGATGCGCATCGGGCATTATACGAGCCACACCGTCCGCGCGCGCCGGTGGCAGGGGGGAGATAGGGGGGGGGGGGGAGGCAGCGGCTTCCTTGATGCCCAGCTGCATGTCCTTGAGCACGATCCGCAGCACCCACTTTTGCTCGAGCGCCGTGAGTCGCGTGTGCATCTTGCGAAGCACGACCTGGAGTGGTTGGTTGTGCCCCGCCGGGCGGGTGTGAGTACGTGCAGCGTCCCGCGAAACACAGGCGCTGCCCAGCGGCCACAGGGTGAACCAAGTGGCGCCCACAACAGTGCGAGGGAGAGTGCAGCGTTCACGATCTAGATCCCACGGGCCTGCTTCGCGGGGGTGCCGTCCGCAACGGCGAGCTCCTAATGGACACGTCCACGACGTGTCCGGGACAAGTTTGCTCGGCGCGCGGGCCGCGCGTCCATGGCTCCTCGAGCAGCGCGTTCATGTCCGCGATCGTGACCCGCCGTGGCCCCAGCGACTCGGCGGACGGGCATCGGCTCTCGATGACCGCAAACGCCTTCTCTGGAAAGTCGCCGGCGGACGCACGCGACAGCGCGGACGGCCGCTTCCACGAGATGAGCTCCTTTGCCGACTCCGAGTCGGGCGGCAGGCCGAGCATGCTGATGTAGAGCTGCGCCAGCATCTTCTCCTTGAGATGGTAGTTTGGCCGCTTTGTGTCCATGCCAGGCAGCATCAGCCGCATCAGCGGGTACATGTCGGGCCGCCCGTGCCGCTTCCAGAGCTTTCGGAGCAGCTGCAGCCGCTTGTCGCGGTTCTCAGCGCGGTACAGACCCTCAAAGCAGTCGGCAACCTTGTGGAAGGGCATGTCGGAGCCCTTGCCGGGCGCCGAGGGCGCCCTTTTCTCCACGCTCGGGCCAGCATTGTTGGAGACGGTGGTGGAAAGCATCGTTCGCGCGTAGGCGGCGGTTGTACCAAGGGCGAGATGGCCGCGATGCAGCCTGGCGGCGAGAGATGAACCAAGGGCGGCGCGGCGGAATAAAGAATTCGCGCAGAGTTTCTTCCTGCGCGAAGCGGCGTGTTGAGCTGGCCAGACGAGATGCCACCAGGCCTCGCTTGAGTAGCCTAGCAGCAATAGAGTAAGCTCAGTAACGGCGTGAGGCAGTGTTGTGTCCGCGATGGCGCTCGAATGAGGGAGGGGGTGGAAAGATGCTAGATGGGTGACCTGGGTACCGAATGCGCTCGTGGCTCGCCTCCGCGCCCGAGCGACAGGCGTGGGGCCTCAGACTGCGACCAGGGCCCGAGCCTCACGGCTGCAACCCTCGGTGCTCGGACCCTCGGGCCGTCACGAGCTAGCCGGCGGGCGGCACTTTGGCCCCATGACGTGGCGGAGGGCTAAATCAATGTGGAACCCGTCTATAGGCCTCAGCGGGCAGGAGACTGGTCCGGGGCCCAGGACGTGCTGCGCGCGTTTGGGCCGTGTGCCAGACGGCGCGCGGGCTCAGCGTGCGCCCCAAGCGAGCGACGTGCTGCTCTTCTATAAGGCTCGAAAGAAATCTTTTTTGTCGCCTGCCTGTACCCAGCTGGCCTGGACCTGTACCTGCACCCGTGTCCGCTCGTGGCCTCCCTCATCGTTCCATGCAAACGTGGAGCTGGCGTCGCAGAGCGCACGCAGGCTGGCGCATTTCCATTTGGACAAAGTTGACATCGTCATCACACTGTCATCACGCAGCCAACCAAAGAAAGATGCAGAACCGATGCTGTTGAGGAGAGCGAGCGCAGACCCTTCGTACGTGTAGAGTGCTGACGCAGGGGGGCAGCTATTTCGGCCCAGCACAGGGCGCCGCCGGAGAGCCGCTCAAGCAGACAACAACCTGTCTGCACCTAGCTCCTAGGTCTGCACGTCTCGCGCGCGCGTGAACAGGGCTGTAGTCGTCCGCCACGATATGGCAAATGATGTGTGTTGTGTGAGTGTTAGTTTTGTTTTGGCATTGCTAAAAATCTCTCCCTCAAGCAACACCAACAGCGCCGGTCAGAATACACAAAGATCTCCCGGCCGTTCCTAAAGTTTAACACAAGAGCCAATCTATACCTGCGTGTCTCTCAATTGTCCAATAGAGGTCGTCCAAGCGCTGCAGAACATGTGCGGACAGGCGCCTAAACGACGCTCTTCACGCTCAAGGAGTCAGGCGCGGAGCGCCGCGCGCGGCGGAGGCTCCGGCCCCCGAGGCCTCCCCCCCCCCCCCAGCGAAGTCTCTCCAAGAGGAGTCGCGGATCGGATTCCGTCGCGCTTTCCGCAACTAAATTGCTAGCTAAGTTGCCATTCCGCGTTTCGGAAATGATTTTTTGTGACAACATGTCACATGCACATTGATCATTGTGCATGTGAATGCACATGCACATGTGCATGACATGTATGCATGTGCATGTGCATGTGAGTTGTGAGGCATGACCATGTAGGTTGGAGCTTCGGCTTTAGCCTTTACCTTTAAGGATTAGGCGCTGTGTGTCGGCCTGGTGTGTCCCGGCGGCCAGTAGGCCGAGTTACGGGGCTGCAGGCAAAAGTCCCAATCGCTCGCTGCCGTGGGTCTGCGAGCTCAGAATACAGAAAAAAACGATCGCGATTGGAGCGGTCCATTGGAGCGGCATATTGTGTGGAGGCGGAACACGACTAAAGTCTAAACAACACAGAACAGAACGCGCCACGTGTTGCTGTTGGCTCCCTCTCTCTCTCCCCCCCCCCACTCACTCACTCTCCACCTCTCCGGCCCATGCACGCCCCCCCGCGCTCCAAAGCCTCCTCGCATGTATGCGCACGGCACACCCCAGGAGGCAACTGCGTGGGGGGCTACCGTTTCCGCTCCTGTCGCCACTTGAACTGCCTCGGCTGCCCGCTCTTGCTCTGCAGCTTCTTGCGCCGCCCCTTGCCAAGCAGCGCGCGCTCCGTCGCCAGCCGCTGCACACACTGCGCCAGCTTCCGCTCCCGCTCTTCGCGCTGGTGCAGCTCCGAGTAGCGCGCCGCGAGCTGCTTTGCCGGCTTGGACTGGTGCTTTCCCTACGCAGGGAAGACGGAGGGGTTCGCCCTGAGGGCGAGGCGGAGTCGCAGAGAAGCTGCGCTCTCCGCCTTTCGCTCTCGCCGGGCCACGGCGCCGCCGCCGCCCGCCGCCGCTGCAGCGCCGACGCCCAAGTCTAGCCCTGCGCTCGCCCCTCCGTCGAGCCCGCCGCCGTCCTCACTCGAGGTGGCGCCGCCGCCGCCGCCGCCACCGTCGGAAGGGTCGACGAAAACGGTCCGCTTGTTTTGAGGCGGCTGCTGCTGCGACACGCCGTGCAGATTGGCGCGGAGCTTCGCCACTTTCTGAGCGCGAAGGGGGCCGGGTCAGATCGCGGCGCGGCGGCAGCCGGGGGGAGAGGCCGTGGCGGGGCGGCGGTGGCGGCGGAGGTGGTGGTGGTGGGCGCGAATGATGCGTGCCTGCGACTCCATCTTGTGCTTCATCGCGACGTAGGTGGCGTCGTCCTTACGGAAGGCCTTGAGCTCATCCCCAGACGGCCCAGCCTCCTTTGCCTTCTTGTGCACGCCGCCCGTCATCTGGCTGCGGTTCATGCCAAAGTAAAACTCGTCCGGGTTCTTGGCCGCCGCCTTGTCGCGCATGCGGTGGATGGTATCCTGCAGGCGGGGCGGGTGCGGTCAGCCACGCAGATAGGCAGATATGGGGGAGCGCGCGGCGCCAACAGCGCACGCCTGCTTCTTGTGGAAGTCCCTCGCGCGGAGCACATAGTCCTTGTGCTTCTCTAGCAGCCCGAGCTTGGCGCGCGCAGCAGGCTGGGACCGCTCGCGGTACGGGCGCGACTTTACGACATGGCGGAGCGAGGACATTGGCCAGGGACGCGCCGCGGCTGTGGAAAGAAATCGTGTTCGCGACTGGCGAACCAAGACCACATGGCGCATCCGAGGTGAACCGATGCCGCGCGACGGCATGGGCCCGCAAACGGTTCACATCACATGTACATGTGAGTCCACCATCCCTCGGCCTCGTTCTGCGTCTGCGACGGCGCCGCCGCCTGCCGATCCCTTGCTCTCGCGGCTTCTAAGAAAGAAAGAAAACCGACAAGCCAAAGGGAGGGATGGGCGGACGGCACGCCGCCACCACACAGGGATTTCAAGGGGAGAAGTGTGGTGCCGCTAGCCGTCGCCCACCCTCGCTCGGGCGTCTACCACTTCCTATCTCTTTTCGCAGTTTCTTGAGCACTTGAGCACTGGATAGGGTCGATTCCGCATGGTACGGGACCCCTCGATCGTCTCGCCCTCCCTCACTGGTGTGGTCACGGGGGGGGGGGTCATAACAAACACGGTACAGGATCGAGGTGCACGCTGCCGAGGCAGTGTCGTCCCCCCTTCTCCCCGACGGCGATGGCGGTGTGACCGATCGAGCTACAAGAGGAGCTTGTTCAGCAGGATCCGGGATAGTCTGATGCACTACCTCACTGGGCCTGAGACCATCGTACGACAGCATCCCGTCACCGTCTCGGATTTATGTGGGGTCGAACCACTCAGGGATGGGCAAGCCCATCAATTACCATCTTGAGCACTTGAGCACCGGATAGGGTCGGTTCCGCATGGTACGGGACCCCTCGATCGTCTCGCCCACCCTCACTGGTGTGTGGTTAATTGTCAAAATTCCTGTTGTGCAGGAGGGGAGGGGGCTCTGACGGAGTGTGTGGCGGGAGAGGGCAGGGAATGGGCGCGGGGGAGGGGGGGGAGGGGGGGGGCTCGCAGTTTCTCACCAATGCAACAAACAACACAACAACAGGCCCCAAATGACGCGTGAGTGTTAGATTTGTTTGGTATTGCTAAAAATCTCTCTCTCTCTCCCAATGCAATTCTCGCAGCGACCTTCATGCCACCTCGCGTTCTTCCCACTCTCGTCCTCGTTCTCTCTCCTGCTGTTTCAACCTCTGACTCATCGCTCTCCTCGGCCTCGTTCTGAAACGCCGCTGCCGTCTGCCGATCCCTTGCTCTCGCTGCTTCTCTCGCCTCTCTGCTCTCTGCGTAACTCCGTCCGTCCGCCCTGCTCGCGGCATATTTTGGCCCCTCGAGTTTATCGAGCTCCCCTCGCGCAAGGACCACATTTCTGACTCCCACTCCGATCCTTTGCCGCCAAGAAAGAAAGAAAGAAAGAAACCAGACAAACCCAGACGAGGGATGGGGGAGGAGGACAGGGTCCCCACCTGCACGAGCAGGATTTTGGAAGGACGATCAGGGGGACAGGTGGGGCTCCCTTTGCCGCCAAAAAAAAAAGAAAGAAAACAGACACCCCAAGGGAGGGATGCCGCCAAGTCATGTGTGTGTGGGACAGCGACAGGTTCGCAGCACGGTGGACTCCTATTCCACTGGCGATCTCTCTCGACTAGCGACCTTCCTCCGGCTTCTCACCAGCAGTCTCTCACTACCACGGGCACACTGACAGAGGCGGCCAAAAGGCTCACGTGGCAGGGCGGTGATAGGAGTCTCCCACTCTGTGGGCTTCGCTAGAGGTGCGGCCCCTGCGCGTGTCCTCGCCCTTGCGTCTTGAAGGGGAAGGGGAAGGGGCTGTGTGTGTGTGTGTGTGTGTGTGTGTGTGTGTGTGTGTGTGTGTGTGTGTGTGTGTGTGTGTGTGTGTGTGTGTGTGTGTGTGTGTGTGTGTGTGTGTGTGTGTGTGTGTGTGTGTGTGTGTGTGTGCGTGCGTGTGCGTGCGTGTGTGTGTGTGTGCCTGCGGGCGCTGTGCGAGCCGCCCTGAACGACCACAATGTTGAGCGCGCTCGAGCACCGAAGCACCGCGAGCGCCGGCGAGCACCACCGCCCCGCGCCTTGGCGTGGGTCGGTAGTACACGTTACACGATGCGGCGCCCAGCTGCATGCTCTATCATGCGTCGCACCCCCAGTGGCCGAGCCGACCGCCGCTCGAACTGGCGCCGAGTGGCTCCCAGATCGAGCGCGGCAGGCTCAGTTGCACCGTCGCGGGGCGAACGCGAACCGAGCCGTCGCCGTTCGCGCAGCCGCCAGCCGCCAGCCGTCAGCCGTACAGCCGTACAGCCGTCAGCCGTCTCGCAGTTGCCGAGTGAGTATTGTGAGTATTCTTGATACGAAACCACACACACACACACACACACACACACTCGCAAAAAGAAAGAAAGAAAACAGACAACCCAAGGGAGGGATGGGGAGGACGGCACGCCGCCACCACACAGGGATTTTAAGGACACAGTTGCCGCCAAGTCATCTGCTTGACTTTTTTTTCCGCACACAGCACGGCAGCCTTCCCCGAAGGGTCACTCTCGCTGCTTCTGTGGATGTTCCGGGCGCTGCTGCTGCTGCTGCTCGCGCAGGATGCGCTCTCGCTGCAGATCGCCGTCCGCCCGCTCGCTCCGGCGACGCTCTCGCGCTCGCCGGCTGTGCACGCGCAGTTCGGTGGCGGCGAGAAGCCAAAGGGGCTCTCGAGAGACAGTGAGCCGGAGGAGTTCTTCAAGACCAACATGGGTGCGCGCACCGCCACCGCACGCGGCCACTTTGCGCGCGCGCCCTCACACCTGGCCCAATGTTCCGCCTCGCAGACGCGATGTCGGACGAGGAGAAGCTGAAGTCTCCAGTGGTTTGGATCGGTCTCTCCATTCTCGTGCTCCCCTTCATCGCGGGGGTGATCGCGCTTGAGTTCTCAAAGTAACCGCATGAGTTGAGCAAGGGGGAGGTACCTGCTCGCTCAGCAATAAACCAGGGCGTCTTAGTTGTCTCCGCTGGTCCTGCAGTGTAGAGACTGAGTCTGAGATGTACCGGCGTGCGCGGGAGCGGGGAGGCAGGATGTCATCCCTCGTGATCCAGACCGTTGGAGGTAGACCGCTCGTCTAGCCAATCAGCCTTAAGCGAGCGGTCTGGCCGTTGGAATGGCCGAGTTTGGTGTGGACTTGAGCGTCCTCGCATCGATCGTGGTTACAAGTACAAGTAAGTATAGCGTTATGAACAGAACACCCACCATGGACCACGTTCATCGGGAAGGGGGAGGTCTGTGACCTGCCTATTCGCCTGGCATGCGAGGATGCGCGGCCTTTCGGAGCCCCCTTCCTCTGTCGGCTTAGTACGGTTGGTCAGCGCGTCTCCGTCTGAAATCTATCATCTCTAGGCTTCCGTGGCGGGCCCTCCTTCCGCTCTGGCGCTCCCGCTTTCTCTGCGCTTTCGTCATCTGCTCCTCGCCCTCGTGATGCTCTTGGCTCGCCCCCTCTCCCTGACTCATTGAATCGCTACGTTCATTCTCAAATCGCCCCTGCTTCCTCGGCGGCTGGGACGCCTCGTGCTCTGGCTGTTCCTCGTCTACGTCCATCACTGTAAATTCGTCCTCTGTCTGGCTGCCTTCGTTTGGATGGCCCGTTTCGGGTGGTTGCTCGCTCGGTCCTGGCTCTGTTGTGCGGTCGGGCATCTCCTCGTCCTCGCTCCTCCCTCTATCTTCGTCGCCGTCGTTGTCGTCTTCGGGGTGTCTGTATCCGTCCCCGCCGCCGCCTCCTTGTAGGAGTTCGAAACGGAGTCGGTCCAGGAAGCGTCGTGCGGCTATTCGGTTCCGTTGGCTCTTCCTGGGCGCCCGTGGGCTGCCCTGGCTGCTCTGGCTCCCCTCGCTCTCGCCCCCCTGACTCTGCTGGCTGTACTGACTGGTATCCGTGTACGTGCGTGGAGTACAGTGTTGTGTGTCCGTTAGCTCCGAGTAGAGGGGGCGTTCTGCAGTTAAGGGGAACCCCGGTACACGGAACTAACCCTCGGAGACCCGTGTTTACTTTACGGCCCTCTCCCTGCAAACGCGCACCCCCCCCTAGGGGTCAGGGCTCTCTAGCCCGTAGCCCGATCCCGATCATCCGCGGCCCGCTGGGTGCGCTTCTTAGCTCCCCGGCCCTGGATGTGAGGCTAATGACTGCACTCCAAGTGCTCCAAGTGACTCTGGCCCCCCCCGCCCTCCGCCTCTTCCTCCGTTGCCACGTCGGGAAGCTCGAAGAACGCATCGTCGATAAATGCCATCTCGTCGTCCGCCGAGGCGCTCTTGTCTCTCTCGTCGTCCCCCTCGTCGTCGCTGTACGTCGCCATGTAAATAAACGGTCAAACTCTGAGACGAGATGGGATTTAGGGACATGAGTCCCCGCCCTGCACGAACTGGTGTGGAGGGATCTTCAATCCGTCCCCTCACCCCTCCTCACTACCCGACACTAGGAGAGCGGCGAGAGAGTTGGGGGGGCTGCGGCGCTACGGCTGTGCGGGTTGCGGCGAGGGCGAGCGCGGAGCGGGGCTGTGGTCGCGCTCGCGGCGGGAGAGCCGCTGCGCAGCGTGGACGCGCCTACACCGCTCTTGCTCCGCTCGCCACCTCTCGCAAAGGTCCAAAGTCATACGGCCTCCTCCGGCGCGCTCCGGCAAGTCCTTTCGGTTTCGCCGCATCTCTTGCCGTCTCTCCAGCGCTGGCAGCTCCTCGCTCCTCTCCTGACTCATGTGTGGAAGGAAGAGAGAGGCAAGAGCTCCGCCCGGCCGTATTGCGTGTACGGCAGTATTCTGTGTATACACTATATAGCCGCATCGGCCTCGGCCATCCTCGCATCACGGGGCCTTTTCCTCGTTCCTGTATGGTGTATCCTGAACTCAGAACTTGCGTCGCGTATAGAACCCCTGCCACCATCGCGGGGATTTGGCAGGCATGAAACAAGGACACGTGCGCGAAATCCGTAAAGTTTTAGTATACGTTTCACAACAGTCAACACGCTCCCACCTCTGGAAAGAGATTTATCGGACGAGCTGGCGGAGTTGGTCGCGAAGGGCGATCCACTCGGCGTTGTTGGGCTCGTGGCATAGCGCATCCTCCACCTCCGCCAAGTTCGCGCGCAGTTCTGCGAGCCCAACCTCGTCCTCGTCCTCGCCTTCCCCTAGGCCGAACCCCGCTCCGCCAAAGCCATCCGCCGAAAAGTCCTCCACGACCGGGCCGCCGTCCGCGTCGTCGTCGCCGCCGCCGAAGCCGCCGCCGCCAAATGCGTCGGCGCCGAAGTCGGCTCCAAATTCCGGATGCTCCTCCGGCGCCGTGCCACCGGCCCGCGACCGCGATGGCGACGTGGACGGGTGCGTGGACGCGTCGGTGGATGTGTCCTGTGCGACAACGAGGGGGGATGGCTCTAGCAGTAGGCAACTCGGGGGTGGAGGGGAGGGGGGAGGGGGGGGGGGGGGGGGGGCTGACCGTCGCGGCGTACTGCCCGGTGCTGCCGAGTGGCGAGTCGCCCACAGGCGCGAAGTCTCCAAAGTCGATCAGCGGCGGCGTAGCTGGCTCGTCAAAGTCGATCAGTGGCGCAAATGGCGGCGGCGGCGGCGGCGGCGGAGGTGTGGCAACAGCGGCGGCGGCGGCGGCGGCGGCGGAAGCTTCGGCGCTCGCGCGCCGCGCCGCGCCGCGCTTTCGCAGCGCAACGGCGCGAAGGGCAACCCCGCCTCTGGCGCCGCCGCCGCCCACAGCCTCTCCCTTGCCAGCGCCGCCGCCTCCGCCCCCTCCGTCACCCAGCCCCGAGGGGAGGTCGAAAACGGGCTTTGTCCTCGCCGGGCTCGTCGCGCTGAGGCGCGACGCGTCGCGCGACGCCGCCTTGAGCCATTTCGGCGTCGACGGAGACGAGGGGGAGGAGCACAGCTCCCCTCCCCGCTCTTGCGCCGTCTCGCCCGAAGAGCTGCTGCCGACGCGCACCTGCTCGCCGTCGGGGCATGTGAAAGCCGCGCACATCCGAGGTGCGGCGGAGGCGGGCCAGCCGGCGGCACGTTGATGACAGCGGGGTGCCCCACCCCGCCCTTCGACGCCCCGCTCTGCTGTGGAGGGATGGCGCGAGACGCTGCGCGCAGCCACTTCGGCTCCCCATCGTCCTCCGCATCCGAGCCGCCCTCCAGCTCTGCCGGAGAAGTCGCCGCCGCAATCTCCGCCGCCGCCGCCGCCTCCGCCGCCGCCTCCGCCTCCGCCGCCTCCGCCGTCGCGGCGGCGGCCTCTGCCGCCGCCGCCGCCTCTGCCGCCGCCGCCGCCTCTGCCGCCGCCGCCTCCGCTTCGCTCGCCGCGCGTGCGCGCTGCCACGCGCCTGACGAGTTGCGCCTCGCCTGATCACACAGCAACGTGTGCTGAAGGATCGCCTTGGCCACAGCTCGTCGCGGCGAGCTGGGCCGTCGCCCTCTCCCACGCGTCTTCGGCGAACGACTTCGCCTTCGCCTCCGCCTCTGCCTTGAGTGCGTCCATGGCCGCCTTCTGCGCCACCGCCTCCGCCTCCGCCTCTCGCATCGCCTCCTCTTGCCGCGGGGACAACGCCTGCCATACGGCGAGGCAAGCGTGAGGGGACGCTCTCTCTGCAGCAGCGCTCCTCTCTTGCTCCGCGTCGCGGCGCCGACAGCGATGAGCGAGGGGACCGCTCTGGCGTGCGCGGCGCCTACGTGCTGAATACACCAACCTCAGGGCGGGAATACGGTATTGTGCGGTGTGTTCAGAGCACCGCGTGAATACAACGGAGAAGAATACAGTGAATACAGCGGAGTACGGCCGAATACGGCTGAACACGTGCCCTCTCGGGCGCTAATTGGGATGATTAATACGTATTCAGCTTCTACGGCGCGGCGCCTTACCCTCGTCGAGCTCCGCCGCCGTCGGCGCCGTCTCCGCGCGAGGAGCGAGCAGCGCGCGGCCGACGGCGCGGCCGGCGGCGTCTCGACTGTTCACACCTCCGCCGCCGCCAGCAGCGCGTGCGGCGGAGGGCTTCGAGTCGGCGGCAGGCGGTGCGCCGATGCTCACGCGCGGCGGCTCCGCGTTGTAGCCACTGCCGCCCGCACCCCCCTCCGGTGGAAAGCGCAAGGGGGCCTCACTCCCCGCCGCCGCGCCCACCGCCGCGCCCGCCGCCGCGCCCTTCGCCTGGTCCCCTCTCCACCCGCCCGCTGAGCGACCACTCAGGAGGCCGCCGAGCCCACCCGCATCGCCACCACCGCGGCTTGCATCGCCCGCAAACGGGGCGCGGATAGTGGCGGCCGTGTACCCGAGCGAGTCGGACGCGTCGCCGCACGCGCCAGCCTCCAGCAGCACCGCCACAACCGCCTCGTGCCCCCGCGCCGCCGCCGCCAGCCGAGGCGTCAGCCCGTCGCAGTCGGATCGAGACGGGTCCGCCTGCAGGACATGTCTCGGACATGTCATGGACGTGTCCTGGACATGTCGAGACGGGTCCCGCCTGCGCCGCAAGCATACTCATCACCATCACCACACACACACATACCATTGGTGCAAGAGCCATGTGAGATGATGTCACACAACCAACGCTGGTCGCCTTGGCCGCGAGCAACGCCCTGACCGCCGCACAGTGGCCTGCAGGCGTGCAGAGCCCGAGTCGGAAGGCGCGCGGCGGCGGGGGCATGACGGTCCTTTCCTCCGTGCAGGAGGGGTGGGGCCAGAGCCAGGGAACCCCGAGCCCCCACGTCTAGAAAGACAGGAACCCCGCGGTATTACGATGTGCAAGCCCAGTGCGTGTGTGCGCGCGCGCGTGTGGTGGAGAGTGGTTTGTGGTTTGTGATTTTGGGCAACGGCCGCCTCCCTCCGCCGCCGCGAGCAGCGGCGTAACGCCGCACCGGTCGGCAACCTACTCGCATCGACGCGCGTCAGCAGGGTCCGATCACCCGCAGAGCCGGCCCGCGCCGACCGAGCCAGCCGACCGTCGCCGACGCCCCCGCGCCAAGCAGCATCGTCACCGCGCCGCCACCACGCCGTGACGCCCACAAAAGCGGTGTGGCGCCGCTGGCATCGGCAGAGCCCGGGTCGGCGCGGCGAGCGAGGAGCGCCTCCACCACACTGGCGTGCCCGCCGCGCGCCGCTGCGGACAGAGCCGTCACGCCCTCCCCGTCCGCCGCGTCCACCGCCCCTCCGCAGTCGAGTGCGCGATGCACGAGCGGTGCGGCGCCGCGGCGCGCCGCCCACTGCAGCACGGTCACGCCGTGCGCGTCGGCCGCGTTCGGGTCCGCCTTGCCAGCCAGCAGCCGCGCCACGACGTGCAGGTGACCACGCCGCGCCGCGGCAGACAGCGCGCAGTACCCATCCTTTGGCCGCGAGACGCTCGCGTCGGCTCCGGCGGACAGTAACGCGCTCACCGCGGCGAGACTGCCCGCCTGCGCGGCCCACATCAGCGCCGTGAAGCCGTGCGCGTCGACCGCGTCCACCCTCGCGCCCGCCCGGCACAGCGCCGACACGATCTGAGCGTGGCCTCCGCCGCCGGCGAACATGAGAGCGGTGTCGCCATCCGCGTCGGCCGCGTCGGCGTGCGCCCCCGAGGCGAGGAGCTGCTCGACCACGCTGAGCTCGCCGCGGGCTGACGCGGCGAGGAGGGTAAAGCTGGAGGCCGCATTAGCCACGCGTTCAGGCGCCATGGATCTGAATCGAGAGGCAAAACCAAGGAGAGGAAAGGGGTCAAAAAGAATACTGTCCCGTTTTGCTGTTCACAGCTAGGGACGGCCTCTGCAGGCAAAGTCAAATCACCCCCACCACCTCCCACCTCCCACAGGCAAACCTTCGGCTCCCGCTCAGAGGCTCGCCGCGCCCGTGCGGCGCGCCGAGGCGGCGCCGAGGCCGGCGCCTTGCACCCGGCCCGCGGCCGGCACCGCCTCGCCCCACAACTGACCGCCCTGCGGCCCCTGCGCAGGCGTACCACAGCGTCGCTCAAAAAGCGACGCCGGGTGTGGGCTGCTCCCTTGACCCGTCACCCGCCGCGGCCCGTGCGGCGCGCCGAGGCGGCGCCGAGGCCGGCGCCTTGCACCCGGCCCGCGGCCGGCACCGCCTCGCCCCACAACTGACCGCCCTGCGGCCCCTGCGCAGCGTACCACAGCGTCGCTCAAAAAGCGACGCCGGGTGTGGGCTGCTCCCTTGACCCGTCACCCGCCTCGCCCTCGCCCGGCCGCCTCACCGCCCACGGAGGCTGCTCGCCGCCGCCGCCGCGCGTCCCGCGCCGCCACGCATGCCCCTTGCCCTGACGCGCGCGCTCTGCAGCGGCGCAGAGCGCGCGTCCCTGGCACAGACGGAGCAGCGGCCGCGCCAGCGGTCGCTGCTCCGCCCCCCCGTCGCGCGCGCCGCGCGCGCGCTGCCGCCGCCGCCGCCGCCGCCGCCCCCTCCTCGCCGTCTTCCCCACCCTACCCTCTGTTGCGCGCGCCGCGCGCGCGCCGCCGCGCTGCGCGCCCCCGCCCCCGCCCCCGCCCCCGCCCCGGCTCCCAAGCGCCCCTTCCCCGGTAGGTGTGCGTAGAAAGTAGAACCAATCGAGAGGTGGCAGAAGCCGCCGTGTGTGACACATATTGCGGCACGTGAGAGTGAGACAGAGCCCCGGCAGCGGCCAGCGCGCGCGCGCGCAGCGGCCAGCGCAACAGGCGTTTCAAACAGCAAACGGGACGGCCTGCGCAGCCTCTAACTATTTTAGCGCTCTCCCAACGGCAGAACGAGGCAGAGGAGAGCGACGCGACAGAAGAAGAAGCGACAAGGGAAAGAACGACGAGAGTGGGACGACCGCGAGGTGGCATGAAGGTTGCAGCGAGAATCGGCGAGAGACTGCGAAGAGAGATAGGAAGAGGCGGACGCCCAAGCGCCAAGGGTGGGCGACGGCTAGCGCACCACACCCCTCTCCTTAAAATCCCTGTGTGGTGGAACAGTGTTGCTAGTGTTGACAGTAACAACAGAACAACAGTGGGGCTCCCCAACAACAGTAGCTAACGTTAGGCCGGCTGAACAACAATAAGGAAGGCCTGGCAGTGACCCACGACGATCTCCAGCGTCCAGTGCGGGTAATACCCGAAAATACCCGGGAAATCCCAGGTATTTTCGGGTTTTACCCGGGTTTTTTGCCGTTCTGCTTGCTGGCCGCTGAACAACAGTAACAACAGTAACAAACAGTAACAGCATGGGCTGGGGTGAACACTTGAACAACGTTAAGGATTTCAGCCAACAATAGCGCAACTGTTAGGCCCAAAGTTAATGTTAAACAGCTCTATCCCCTAGCAGCAGAACGCCCCCTCTACTCGGAGCTAGTAAACACTCGACACGGACTCGACGCCCGCCCACACCCGGCGCCTCACCACTCCGGACCCCTCTTCGTGGTCTCCCAACTTTCACCTCAGGACGTCTTCCCCCACCTCTCGGTCCTTCCTTCTGGTCGCATCCCGATAATTGTGTGACGGGCGCGGGGCCCGACCTCCCCTCCTAGCCTTTTTCAGCCGCGGCTCCGCCCCCGTCTCGTCTCCTCTGTCCGATTCTGTCGCCATCATCGACGGTGATCCCATGCCCGACTCCTCGGGCGAGGGCGGCGGCACTGGATCGCCACGCCATTCCTCCCCGGGAAGCGGGGCCAGCTCACTCCGGTCGAGGACTCGCGCCCGCCCCCGCGGTCTCTCTATCGTCCTCGGCTCGTCCGTACGTCCCGACTCTACTCGCATAGGCCGCGTCAGCTCGCCTCTCGCCTCCTCCGACAGCTGACCCCAAGCCCCCCCCGGGGCCCTCCGGCCACGGCCCTCGGGCTCGCCGGCGGGTCCGTTATCGTATTGCGGCAACTCCCCTCCCCCAGCTCCTCCTCCCGGGTACACCAGCCTCCGGCGGGGTGGTTCCGGATCCCCCAGGTTATCCTGAGCCCTGGTGTCGAGGTGTCGAGGCCCGGTGTCGAGGGTGTCGAGCTGCTGTCGAGGGATAGAGGTGTCGAGGCCTGTCGAGGCCTGTCGAGGCCTGTCGAGGCCTGTCGAGGCCTGTCGAGGCCTGTCGAGGCCTGTCGAGGCCTGTCGAGGCCTGTCGAGGCCTGTCGAGGCCTGTCGAGGCCTGTCGAGGCCTGTCGAGGCCTGTCGAGGCCTGTCGAGGCCTGTCGAGGCCTGTCGAGGCCTGTCGAGGCCTGTCGAGGCCTGTCGAGGCCTGTCGAGGCCTGTCGAGGCCTGTCGAGGCCTGTCGAGGCCTGTCGAGGCCTGTCGAGGCCTGTCGAGGCCTGTCGAGGCCTGTCGAGGCCTGTCGAGGCCTGTCGAGGCCTGTCGAGGCCTGTCGAGGCCTGTCGAGGCCTGTCGAGGCCTGTCGAGGCCTGTCGAGGCCTGTCGAGGCCTGTCGAGGCCTGTCGAGGCCTGTCGAGGCCTGTCGAGGCCTGTCGAGGCCTGTCGAGGCCTGTCGAGGCCTGTCGAGGCCTGTCGAGGCCTGTCGAGGCCTCGCTGCTTGGCCACCCGAGCCACCATCCTCAGGGCGCCTCCCTCCATCCCGAGCAGCGCCCCCGCCATCTCCGCCTCCGCCATTCCCACTAGTCGCAGGAATCGGGGGAGGGCGGCCGGAACCGCTCCGTCGGGGACGGCCTCCTCCGGGGCCTCTCCCGCAAGCTCGTGTAGCACTTGCAGCGTTGCTGCCGCATCTTTCGCCTCTTCCTCGCCCCCCACGGCCTCGTCTGACAAAGGTAGGAATGACAGAGAGTCGGGCTGCCAGCGCACCACTCTCCATGGTGCCATGAAGTCCACCGCCCCGCAACACGTCTGCGCAGTCCACGCCAACGTCCGCCGGACCCCGCCCCCATACCACGTAGGGGCCCACCTGGTCGGTGCGCCTGACCCTCGCCCCCCCGTACCACCCGCCACGAATGCCAGCCGCCGTAGCGCCTCGGTGCCCACCGTCCCGACCACGTCGTCCCTCCTCGGCGCGAAGAGGAGTACTCTGACATCACGAGGGTTCATCGCCGGCTGTGACGGCGGAGCACTCCCGGTTGACGGCATCTCGGCGGGCGGAGGGGGTCCTCTCCACCCCCTGCCCAGGCGTGGGTGTTCGCGTAAACCGACTCCGTGGCGTTGGCCCATCCCGCCGCGTGTCCAAAGGCGATCGTCCCGGCCGTCATCTCACACGACTGGCAGTACGCCTCCGAGGCAGAGTTGGCCCGCGCGCACGGGTATGCCGGTGTCGTCCCTTGCTCGTCAGCTGTCAGCGACCGCTGCCTCTTTGGCGTCATCTCGTCGCCACGCCCTTCCGCCTGCCTCCCCGCAGCGGCGGCTAGTCTGGCGGTCCCGTTACGCACCTCTAGCCTCTGGCTTTCGCCCTGGCATGCGGTCCCCTTCCTCCCCACGTCGTGGGGATTAGGTCCCGTCTCTTCACGTGGGCCGGGCCCGCGTCCCTCCCCCGGGACTACCTCTTTTCCTTTCCTTTTACAGCACCCTCTCTTTCCTCTCTATTTTCCCGGGAAAACTCCGTGGAAATCGTCATTTTGGGGGCTCTGACAGTCCCTCTGAGCCGAGTCTGAGGCTGTTTTGGGGCCAAAATCAGCAAAATCGGCATCATACGGTATTTTGCGGGCATACTTGTTTTTATCTCTCTCTCTTCTACTTGTTTTCGGGAATACCTGGAAAATACCCGGGTAGTTTGCCGATTCATCCTCAACGTTGCCTCAGATTTTGCCCCAGACCAGCTCTCTCAGTACTCAGACTCAGGGAAACTCGAGAAACACAAACAGAATGGAGCACCAAACACCCTCTGTTTTCCCTGGAAATTTCCGGAAACGCAAAGTGCTGGGGACCTTGGAGCACTTGGAGTGCAGTCATCAACCGCACATCCAGGGCCAGGGAGCTGAGAAGCGCACCCCTTTGTTTTCCTTTTTCTTTGCCGGAAAAGTAGGTACAGGCCAAGGGCTAGCCGTACGTGCCACACACACACACACACACACACACACACACACACACACACACACACACACACACACACACACACACACACACACACACACACACACACACACACACACACACACACACACACACACACACACACACACACACACAAGAGAGAGAGAGAGAGAGAGAGAGAGAGAGAGAGAGAGAGAGAGAGAGAGAGAGAGAGAGAGAGAGAGAGAGAGAGAGAGAGAGAGAGAGAGAGAAGTTGACGTAACAAAAATCGTGGCGAAAAAGACACGGAAAATTTACGTCTAACCCGGCGGGGAGGTGGGTGGGCGTGCGCGCGGCGCGCGGTGCGGTGAGTGAGTGTGTCTTTGGGTGGCCGCCGTGGGTTTGGGTGGCCGCCGGGCGACCCGCGCGTTGAGCAGTTGCCCAGCGTGGCGCAGGTGTTCAACGTGGCCCGGCGCAAGAGAGAGAGATTTTTATTAACCAACAAGAAATCACGACTCTCACAGTGATTCTTGCGCAAGAGCGTGCCAGTCGACGCGTACTCCGTACAAGTACGACGCCGCCCTCTTCCTGCAGGAGATCGCCCGCGCGGCCTACCTACCGCGCCGAGCAGGACGACGGCAAAGTGCTCAAGGAGCTCCTCTGGCAGCGCGGCCATGGGACGCGACGCGACCCGCGGATGGGAAGAAAAAAGCCAACATAAAAAGAAATTCTGGCTTCGCATTGCTTCGCATCTCATGTCGCGGCTGCTCGCGCTCTTGTTGGCTCTCTGCGTCGCGCCGGCGGCGTCGCTCACGATCAGTGGCAGCGCGAGCGCGGTGCGGCCGGGCGGCCGCTCGCTCCGCTTTGTCCGCATGGAGGACGCTCCCCCGCCGCCGCCGTCCGGCCGCCTCGGCGCGACCGTCGACCAGGATGGAAAGTCCAATGTGTGGGCTGTGGAGCCGGCGATGAAGGTGGACTCGCAGAACAAGGACAAGGGGCTGATCGCGTACGCGCCCGTCATCGGCGTCGCCGGCCTCATCGTCCTGCTCGTGCCGCTGCTGCCAATCCTCTTTGCCGCCAACCCCGACCAGGCGACCGCTGCCCGAATCACTATAGCACAGAGATGGCATGGCAAACATATGGCATAGCCCGCGCCAGTAGCGCGGGCACGCGTGCGAATCGAGGCATCGCGCGCCGGCGCGCCCCATGTTGCACGGAAGGCGAGAAGCTTCAAGCTCCCGCGCCGCGCCTTCCGACTCGGCTGCGCCCTCCCTGCAGGCGTGAGCGTCCGCGGCTGTACCCCGCCTGCGGCGCTGCTTGGGGATCGCTCGATGCAAAGGCCGCCCAGAATTTGGGCCGCCGTGGCAGCTAGTCGGCCCGTGCGGTATCACCGCGCAGTTGTGTGAGCCGTCATCCCGGTGAAAATTCACACACCCCGCATGACCCCGCCTCTCCGTGTACCGATCAATGGACGCGGTGACGTCGTCGAAATTTGCGTGTCGCCTTACCTCTGTATCAAAATCCGTCCAGCGTCTCTCGTCTCCGTCACTCCTTCACTTGTGACTCCATGAAGTGCTTGGGTCTCGTGTTTTTGAGCGCGCGTTCTTCGAGTGGACGTTACACCACTCACCAGTGTTACACACAGGTGTTCCACCGCGCTTTTTGTACTTTGTAGCGCGATGTCGAGCCCCGCGCCCCGGCGCACTTTCCCGCCTACTCTAGGTCGAGGGGCCTCTGCGGCCTGCAGCATCGACGAAAGCCGAGCAAGTGGCGCGCGCGCCGCGGCTCGCGGCCGGCGTGCGGCGACGCACTTCGTTCGCTACGAGGAGGTACAATTAGGCAAGGCAGCTGTGTGCAGCCCCCCCCGCAGTGCTCGAACTTTTACCGGCATGAGACCGGTATTTGGTGATATTTTGATTAAGTTTGGAGGTGGTACGGTATGGTATAGTGCTGGTATATGCGAAAGTGGTATGCGGAGTGTTGATTAGCGGTAGCGGCTGTGGGTGTGGTCCCAGGAAGCGAAGCCATGCAAAAGTGCGGGTATTACCCGGGAATGCCCGAGTTTTTGCAGGTATGCCCGCAAATACCCGGCATTTTGCCGATTTCGCCGATTTCGCCGCCAAAAATGCACTCCGGACTCGCTTTGGTTTCCGTGAGGCACGTGGTACCCCATACCACTTTTTGATTAGTGAGGGTCGGGTTTGATTAGCTAAAAACTCCCATACCGGTAAAGTTCGAGCGTGCGCAGGTGATGGTCCTGTCTGTAAGCTGTTTTGCGAGAAAGGAAGGCCAAGAATGCAAGAAAAATTACCTGGCATCGGGGTGACATGGTCATATGATGGAAACTCATGCAAACTAAGCACGCTGCATGTGTGGGTACCACCTCCGATCACTCTGCACTCAAGGTGGGGGCGAGAGCACACAACATATGGAGTTTGGACTTTCAGCCACGCACTATCAAACTATTAGCCTAATAATGTACCTGATTATCAACACATACCTAAAAACGTTATTATTAGGCTTGTTATTAGCAGTTTCTCCACCTCGCACGCAGGCCCCGGAGTGGTTGCTTCGACCCCACGCAAATCCGAGACGGTGATGGGATGCTGGCTCTGTGGTCTCAGGCCCAGTGAGGTAGTGCACGAGACTATCCCGGATCCTGCTGAACAAGCTCCTCTTGTAGCTCGATCGGTCACACCGCCATCACCGTCGAGGAGAGGGGGGACGACACTGCTTCGGCAAGCGTGCACCCCGATCCTGTACCGTGTTTGTTATGACCCCCCCCCCAATGAACACTCCAGTGAGGGAGGGCGAGACGATCGAGGGGTCCCGTACCACGCGGAATCGACCCTATCCAGTGCTCAAGTGCTCAAGCATTTTCTAACGAAACTGATTAGTGTAAATAAGCTAATAAAGTTTAATAATAACGTTATTAGGTATGTGTGATCTGTGATCTGTGAGGGTCCGCCCGCAGGCGCATTTTGTATACCGAGGCGGTGCCCGGTGCCGAGCGCAGGCAGTGCCCACAGGTCGGACCTTAAGACAGCATTGTTTGTAGATCCCTGGGCGAGGGTGATGGCGTCCCCGTCGGGAGGGGCTGTCTGGGGGGGTGGTACGGCGATCAGAGCTCCCCCGGTCGTCGCGCTAAACCGTATGTGTTGATAATCAGGTACATTATCTAAAGATATATTGCTCCCCCGTTGTCCGCCGTTTACACGTGACCAGCGGAATTCGCGGACCCGAGGAGTCTCGAGCTTCAGCTGGCAAACCATCATGCCGCTCTCGGCACAGCAGAAACGCGAGCGCCGCGCCGCGAAGCGCGCTGCCGAGGCTCAGGACGCGGCTCGCGGGCAGCGCAACCGCCCGGCGCCGAGCCGGTGCTAGGCCGCCTCCGCTGCGCCTGCTTCCTTGCGCGCCGCTGGACGTCGGCCGAGAAGACCGCTTCCCTCTGGGGACCCGACTCCGCGAAGATCGCGCGCGCGTCGTGAGTGGCGGCGCGCGCGCGATCTCCGTTCCCGGGCACGCCGGTCGCAGTGGCATGGGCTCCCAGGCTCAAAAGCGCTCCCGCCAACAGCGAGCGAGCGCCGCCGCTGCTCCTCCTCCCGCCGCCGCTCACCGAGACTCGGTGCCGCCGTTCGCCGCCGCCGCCGCCGCCGCCGCCGCCGCCGCCTCGCGCCTCGCCTCCGTCACCGCCGCCCTCCATCTCGCAGCGGCGCGTCCCTCTGATGGCGCGGGCGCCTCGCTCACCGGCGCCTCGCCGCCGCCCCCCCCCTTCTCGCGCCGCTCCGCTCGTGGCCGCCGCCTCCCCTGTCAATCCCGCCGCCTCCCCTATTATCCCGCCGCCCGCACCACCGCCGCCACCGCCTCGCGCCTCGCCGCCGCCGCCACCGACCGCCCTCCCCTGTGCCGCTGAGCGCGGTGCAGGGGGCGAGCCCCCGCTGCGCAGCCTCACCGCAGTGCACTGCGCTCTCACGCGCCCCTGACGATTAGTGAGGAGGTGGTGTTGCACAGCATGGGGCTCGGCGAGCGTTTAGCGAGCCCCTCAGCTAGTGTGTGTATACGTGTGTGTGTGTGTCGAGCCGATTTGAGTTGCTCTCGGAGACGAGATGCGTGTTTTCCTCATCTCGCATCTCGGATCGGCGATGGTTGTGCACATCTTCGATCTTGGATCTGCGATCGACGACATTTTTTTGAGATCGCCGCCCCGCCCACTCCCGCGCCTCCCAGAGCCATTCCGCGCCCACCCGCGCCTGCCTCGCTCACCGCCCGCCCGCTCCCGCCGTCCAGATTGACCGCCGGACGTGCCGGGCGTGTCGTCGAGCCAGCCACGCCCTCACGCGCGACGCCCGCCCTCGCGACGCTCGCCCTGCACGCCCGATGGCGCACGGGCCGCCCGCCCACCGCCCACGCCGCCCGTAGTAGCTCAAGGCGCCCGCGCCGCACCGCTGCACTCTGACCACCGCCCAGCACCGCCCCTGCCTTGCGCTGCCCTGCACCACCCTGCCCTGCCCCTGCCCGCCCCGCCCTGCCCCTGCCCAGCACCGCCCTGCCCAGCACCGC